GTCAGCCTTCTCCCCTTCTCCCGCTGTCGGACGCAGCCGCTGATGGCAGCGGTCCGCGTCGAGGCCCCGGGCAGCGGCATCTGCCAGGTAACGGCCACAGCCCTCACGGGCTCCACGTCCGCCGTGTCAGCCCCAGGCCCATTCGGCTCCCACCCCGACCTTGCAAGGGTATGGGGGTGCACACATCTGCCTCCAAAACTGAGCTGGGCCAGCGTCTCTGTGGCTCATTTTTAACATTTTGATTCACAAATGACTGGATCTTTGGGAGCCTATTGCACTATTTCAAAAAGACAGATAAAAGGATCAAACATAGTTCAACAAGTACTGGGTGCCAGGTAGCACGTAAGTTCAATCTGCAGGATATGTGGACAGGTACGTTTTCCTGTGGCCACGTGGCTTCTATCCAGGGCAAGAGAGGGAGTAGAGGGCTCCACACTGTAGATTATATACAGTTTCTGTGGCCTGTCTTGGCATCAGCTGCAATAGGACACTGGGCTGAATTAATTTTTGTTCTGACCCATTATGGACATTCTCATGTCCGTATGACATGAGATTCTCTTACATCATATGAGATCTACGGTATGTGGCTAATTCAGTTGGCCAGTGCATGTGCAATGTGTCCCCTGTGTCCCTGCAGAAACACTCATTAAATATATTGGCTGTGCTCAGTAGGTGTAGCACACATCTTGGAAGCTCTCGGCATGCTCATGCACCTTTTCCCTTCCTGCAGTCTGTTCTATGTGCGGATCAGAGGAGTAGCCCGGGAAGAGTGGCTAGGAGCAGGCTGATGGCACTCCTGCATCCTGCTTTGGGTGCCCTTATTTAGTATCTTTCTTGCAGGGAGGTAAGAGGCTTTCAGTACATGGGTTGGTTGGACCCTAGCTGCCATTTTTCCTGAGGTACAGCTACAAGCAGAGGTTGGGTGAACTACTGACTTCATGAGCTCAATTCCTAAAGAGAGGAGAATGACTGTGAAGGCAACTGCTGTCTAAAGTCCCATTAAGCATGAAAAATGACGTCTAAGTACCCCTGCTATCCTTCATGTTGGTTATTGAGATGGCTATTCCACTGTTTTCACCTATAAACACCCAATTATGTGAATTAATATGCATAATGGGCAAGGTTTGCCTGAAATACAGAAATACAGAATTTATTCCTGGCCTTTAAGAATGAATGGTCCCACTTTTCAGGAAGCTTGCTACCTGAAAAACTTGCTAATCAGCAATAAAGATGTATTTTGGCCTTACTGTTGGCATTTAATCCTGAAGGGCAGAGACAACTTTCTCTTCGGTATTGCATTGTGATTCAGATAGTGTCTTAGCTTAATAGAGTTAATGTATTTGTAGCATCGTGTAAAATTGATATACACAGTTTTGAAAGGAGGAAAACTGCAATATGTAGTTATGGTTATTTCTTAGTCTCTTCTCTATTCCTGTATGTTTCTATGAACCTTCTTCCCTTGTTTGTTTTCCTCTATCTGGTATTGAAAGTCTTCAGAACAGGTATAATATTTGCATATTTGTGAACATAGTTGTATAAAATAATTTCTCTCTCTTTTGTTCCATAGGTGAGCTTTAGTCCTCAAGACAATGCACAGGTTTGTATCACTGGAAATGGCTTTTTTAAACTTTTTAAGTACAGCGAAGGAACTTTGAAGCAGATGAATTTACAAAAGGGAGAGCCGCAAAACTACTTGTGCCACGCCTGGCTGTCCGAGGAGGAAGTAATATGTGGCACTGACACAGGCAAACTTATCTTGTTTGAAACTGGAGAGCTGCACTGGGAAACAAGTGTAGAGTACAAAAAAATACCCAGGGAACTAGAAGAAGATGCAACAACAGAAGAATATGAGAGGTAAATCTTTGTTAAATACTATTAATAATAGTTTCAAGCTTGTGCATGCAGATTAGTTGCAGGCCATTCACTTATTTCCTTCTTGTCCAGTTTATGAATGGGTTATAATATTTTGATCGCTGCTGATAAACATTTTTTGTTTTGTCCTTCTTTATTCTTCAGTCTTTATGCATTTCCTGCTTGCAGTTCTTCTGATGTCTCTTGTGGACTGGCCTCTGAAGATAATGGTTCACAACAGGATTCTTTGCCTCAAATATCTGCAGTTGCAGCTTATTCCAGAGGCTTTGCATGTTCATCTAGCCCAGGAGTTGTTCTTCTGTTTGAGAAGACCAAGGGAAAGGAAGTCTACAAGGAGAGTCAAGAAATCTGGGTAGGGAGAAAAAAGCCTTTCCAAGCAACTATGCAGCAGAGGCCTGTTTGGGGTGTGGGTGTGTGCTTCCGATTCAGTTATTAATAATAATTTTTAGCACATCTCTAAATTACATTGTAAGCATTAGCTAACTGTCCTGGTGATGTCGAAAGGAAGGGAGTTAGAATAGAATCATAGAATCATTGAGGTTGGAAAAGACCTCCAAGATCATCGAGTCCAACCGTCAACCCAACACCACCATGCCCACTAAACCATGTCCCTAAGTGCCTCATCTACACGTCTTTTAAATACCTTTTAAAAACAGAGTTGCCAGAGGTCACACTGAAAGTCAGTGACAGATGTCCTTTTGCAAGGTAGCTCTGCATGTTCCCACATGTAAAATGTGCTTTGAGGCTGCTAAACTTCAGGAAACCTTTAAGAAACTTGTATTTATGGAGACTTTTGGAGCTAAGAAGTAGTCTACATCAGTTTTGAAGAACTAGGCTGCTTGTTTTTTTCCAAGGCAAAGCTTTTCTCCCCTTAGATATTTATTACAGCTGTCATGAGCCTTGTGCACTCTTACTCTTAAGTAATCTGGTGAGATTTCTAACTGTTCCATAGTGAGCTGTATGCATTGACTTACTGCAATCTCTGGATAAGAACATTTAACTCTGATGACCTGGTCAAGCCTTCATACTCTGGGCCTAAAAGGTCAGATCTTCCCTATGCACGAGACCCTGTAATAAGATTGTTATCAACCTGAATGATACACTGCAAAGAACTGTTATTCTGAGATCACAATTTTCAGGCAGTTTTCATTCTTACACTTGCTAGGTTTTTTTCTCCATGTTTTTCTGCTACCATTTTCATTTTTGTTTAATGCGGTACTTAAGATTACTGCTGAAATGTCCTCTGATGCTTTTTTCAGCTGTAATGCTGTAGATACAGTTAGATTATCTTGTCCCCTATTGCCTGCCTTGCAGTAGTTATGTAGTATTAAATATCCAAGTTGTCTTACTGATATTATGTATGTGCTTATTAGAGTAGCATTACAGCAAAAGTTTGTGTGTGTGTGCACGCCTACTACTAAAACATGGAGACCTGGAATACCCCATGGGATGCATTTCTTGTGCAGCTTCCTCGGGACCTGTTCAGCAGTGAGCCAAAACAGTCAGGCAGACAGGACATAATATGCATATGCTTCAGCCCCTCTGAGGAAACGATGGTCGTTAATACAAATAAAAATCAGCTTTACATATTTACTATGCTCTCCACCGATCTTATGAAGGTGAGTGCAATTTTAGCACGTTCCACAGCCATCATGTCCAGTAAGGGGTGTATTGTAATGGCACAGGCTATTCAGTGTCGCTTTCTATGATGCATTCTCATAAAATTCATCAGATAGCGTCTGAACCCTTAAAGCTCGTGATAGGA